TTTTTGTGTATGGTTCAATAATTCATTTTGGAAAGGGTATGTAGATATCTACTATTCCAGCTCCACTTGTTGCAAAGAGCATACTTTCCCTTAGTGACTTGACTTATCATTCTTAAATTTTAGCTCTTCTTCTTTTTTTTGTTGTCTTTTTGAGACAGGTTCTCGCTATGCAGTTCAGGCTGGCCTTGAGCTCACTTTGCAGCCCAGACTGGCCTCGAACTCACAGGAGATCCTCCTGCCTCAGCCTCCCGAGCGCTGGGATTATGTGTGTACACTACCATGCCTGGCCATCTTTAAATTTTAATAGCTTGAGCAAGATGAAAAGAATGCCTATGACTGAGGTGGAGGAAAAGTAGCAGCTTTGAGTGTAACAGTCCAGTGGCATTTTAACTTGAAACTGAAGAAGTAAGTAAATACCCTAGGAAGGTTGTGTATTAAGACAGGTTTTAGGGAAAGAAGAAATATTCAAATCAATGTTTGCATGAATACAGGGGTATGGCAGAAGAAACTGATAAAGAAAAATTAATGATTAATGAGTATAGAGCCCAAGTCGCAATAGCTCCTTTTGGCCTTTTAAATGAGGAATTATGGTTTTGCAAATACGTACAAAAAAATTCATCACCATAATCTGGACCTCAAGTAAGATACATTCTTTTAGTTTCAATCATATTACTGAGGCATCAATCTATCTAAGACAGTATATCCACACTACAGAAAATATTTAAGAAGAAAAATAATCTCTTAAATAATGAAACCCTAAGCATAAATTAATAAGAGTGATGACAAGTATGGTAGGCCTATCCACGAACAGCTCTTAAGTAGTCACAAAACCATATCAACACATTTACTTTCAAAGATAGTGACTTAAAACTTTAATATTTCAGATATTTAAAGAATCTAATAAATTAGCTAATTCAAGGAACAAAGCTTACTTTTTTTTTTTTCCGGTACCGGGAATCGAACTCACGACCTCGCGCTTGCCAGGCAGGCGCTGTGCCGCTGAGCTAAATCCCCAGCCCCTTACGTTTTTGAATAAGTTTTGCTCTATCTCTTTTGAATGGAAGGTTTTATCTCTTAGCCATAGTGATTCTTAGTTTGCACAATTATGAGTGGAATAAACTTGGCACTCATTAGACATTTACTGCCTGAGGAAAATCCAACGACATCTATAAGGCAATGCAAGTTGTTGATTCTATGCCAGATTTCCTTAAGCTTCTTTGGGTTTTGGTATCTAACAATTACTTTAGAAGTAGTATACAGCTCTAACAGTGAAGGAAAGGCATGACAAATATTAGAATTTCTTCATGTGCAACCTTTCTACAAAACAAGATTCAAATTAGAATATCTTTAAAACTCAGCATAATAAATGGTGGTGTGGGGCCATATTTGACCCGTAAAACCAAAATTAAGATGAAAAGTACAAAGAAATATTTCTTTCAAATAGTGGAAGCTTATCTTACATAAACTGTTCATAGTATGTAACAAAGTGAACTGTTAATTTTTGATGAAGTTTCTAGTTTCTTATGTTAGAAGTAAATCTACCACATAGCTATAATATGTATTTCTATTTAATATTATAGGAACAGGAACACATTACCTTATTCTTACTAAGCAAACAAAAACTAGGTATGTAAGTTAAACTACTATTCCTATCTGCATTATTATGCAGAATAAGGAATCTATTAATTTCTTGACCTTAAAAATTTTCATTGGTTTTTATTTGTAATTCTAGAACCAGGCAACACTTTATTCTACCAATTAGAATGAGAGTTTAGAATGAGTGGTCCTAGGACTCACTACTTTTGATTAAAAAATTTATAAAGTAAGATAAATGCTGGTTAATAGATCTAATGAGATATGTATATTTACAGATGGCTTGATGATCTGTAGAAAATATTAATTTGCCTATGTAAACCACTATAAACTCAATTTCTACCTTTTTGACATTACATAGTTCCAATGTTTCACTTGTAAGGCAGTTTTTAAAACAAGTACAGATGTTCAATAGTGCTTTGTCTTCTTAGACTACCTTGCCTAAAAGTATGCTAAACGGGCCAATTTTCCCTTCTTTTAATAATTGTAAAATTATCTTGTAATCCTTGATTATATGTGTCAATAAAAGAGTGTAAGAGATTGGGCTGGAGTTGTAATTCAGTAGTAGAATGTGTCCCTATCATGCACAAAACCCTAGGTTCAATCCCCAGAACAGCAAAAACAAAACAAAAGGAAGGAAAAGATTAATGTGTTTTCTAAGTAGTTGGGTATAATTTTACAAAACCAGTTTATGTACCCAGGTTTTAGCATAACTTATTAAGTGGTGGAACATTTTAATTCACACTCACTTAAAATTTATATGGAACTGGTACTTATGCATAATTCCAATTACTTCTGGGAGCATTTGTATTTGGTATCAATTTTTGATGTACTCACAGGAAAACTTTTCTAAAGTTCAACCTGCATTTATGGATTTAGACTCTGAGATTTAGATTTAAAAGTCTTATTTCTTGGGTAAAATTCACTAGGTTCATTATAATTATAGAAGGCATTTTTCTGTTTCAGTAAACTGGGCATAGCTATTAAAGAATGTAGCTATAATTTCTGTTATTTAGAAATCAATTGGAATTCTTATTTAAAAAGCTTTCTTTTCACTAATTATTAAAATGTACTATCAAGAAAGCTAGATACATCTATAGATCGTACTAAAATGTTTCAATATTCTCCTCTGCTAAGATAAAAATCTTCAGTAACAACAAAAGATCAGGATAATAAAAAATACATGTCCAAGCAAACCAGTATACTGAAGGGTATTTTGTACATATCATAGGTAAAAGAAAACTAGAAAACCTTAGAATTCTAACATATCTGGAAAGTTGATAAACTCACTTTGAAACAAAATCTTTTTTTGACATCTGAGAATACTAAGCTACTAGAGGCACATGAGCTTTCAGGGAAAAACGCCACTTCGCTAGGTTTTGGAGAGGCAGATAAATTAAAGGAATAGGAAAAATAAGCAGAACACTGGATCTAACACAGTGAATGTGAAATAGATAGGACAAGAACAGAATGGATATGAGCCAGGCTATGGGAGCTCTGGGATAGAAACTACCAAGACTGATCATATTTTACTTGTGTTCTCCAGCAAACTAAGGAGTATTCCAGGTATACTATTAAAATTGAATGAAGAAAAAAGTTGGGCAAGAAAAACTTGGGATGGTATACATGTTTCCACTGTAGTTTATTAAAGGAAAAGTTAGTTTTATTGATACTATAATTGGATTAGCATATTATTTTCAGTCTCTCTCTAAAAAGAGCAGTAAAAGGCTCGATAGTTCAGTTTAAATAAATGATATAACCAGAGGACTTCCATCATGGCTCACAAGAGGCAGGGCTGCTTGAGGGGTGCTCAGAAGAGAAGCAGTGGGGAGTACAGTACAGCTACTTGAAAACTGGCTGCAAACAAACACCCAGAGATGGGAAGGCACTTGAAGGAAAAGCCCACAAGATGAATTCCAGTACTGGGTATTTAGAAAAAGAAGCAGGGCCACCCCGAGATCATGGCACAGCTCACACCCTAGACACAGCTAACACACTATCATGGAAAAAGATCTAACCCCCTGAGGCAAGAAGCCAAGGTCTGCAGAGGTGGCAGAGCTGCTACAACTGTTGCCCAGCCTGGTAACCACCATCCAGTGCCCACCTATCCTTACTCCCAGCTTCCTGACATGGGGGGCCCTGCAAGCGAGATACTGTACATGTAGATGAGGGCACTAGAGAAATTGAAAGCTAGAAAATCATTTGGAGGGCAGTGACTGAGTTAGGACCAGCAGGGCCTTGGGAAAGAAGAAACAAGCGTATGGTCCTGGACAGGGAGCCAGAACCAGACATTGAGAGATCTACAACTCAGTGAGTCCCAGAAATGGGCAGTGGTTGCTACTGGTACGGGAAGGGGATTTTTGGAAGGAGAATGGCAAGTAAAAATGATAAAGATGCAGTATGTATATGCACCAGCTCCCCAAGATGAGTTAATTATTCTGTTTCACAAACATATACTAATAAAAAAGATTGGACCCGTGTGTGTGTGCATGTGTGTGTATGTGTGTGTGTGTGTGTTTACAGAGTCCACCAAAAAATGTATACACACTTCAGCAGTTTGCCGTACTAATAAATGTCTGGAATTAACGGCCACCACTTTGATCACCTCTTCTAACTGTAGAAGCCAAAGGTAACTTACATTAATCCCATGATTTCTCAATAAATTTAGTATTAAAATATTTATATAAATTTTTCTTTTCCTGATGCCTACATTTTTGGTGGACTCTGTATATGTATATCCAGAAAAGCTAGTATTGATTTTCTCTTTGAAACTTTAATTAAAATATAAGTAGTTACAATTCAGTAAGTTTTATCAATTTATTAAAACATGGAGTCCCTGGACACTAAAAAAGAAAATTCATTTGAATTCCACCAGTTTATATTTCCATGAAAGACATACTAAACACTGTAGTCACCAAAGAGTTAACCAGTCTTTATTAGGAATATGTGCGCTCCGTAGTATTTGCTAGCAAGAGAATATGCCACTTTTCGCTAGGAGTCAGTAGGATGTCCTACTAAATATTAAATAAAAGATACTCAGATTGGTTTAAAATTGTTATCTCTGCAGCAATAACAAGAAAAGCATTTTCAAAAGCCTTGTTGAATTCTCAAATACAGTTTAAATTGTTAAAAGCCAAGTTATATGAAAGCACAAGGTATGTTTACACAAAAGTCAGCAAATACGTAAGGCTTAAATGATATTTTTTAAAGTATGAGTTCCTAAAGAAGATACAAGTTCTTAACTCTTCCGCTTTATATTGTGACTTAGCGAATATACCCTATTTAGATTCAGTCTTTTAACAAAAACATAGGTATTAATATGAAAGGTACTATGAATTTCTTTTGAAAGACTAGATCTTCAAAACACAAAGCTAGTTTTCAGAATTATTTGACTGATATACAATTACCTCCGCGCTAATATCACACGGAGCTGAAGCTGTGCCACACTTGAGCCTGAGCTTTGCCACCAGTTGCTCCGAGTCTTTAACTTCACTAAAGCGGAAAGCTGTTTTTCCCTTGATGCTAATGATGACAGATTTGCTGGAATCATTTGTCTTATCTACAGCTAAGACCTGGAGATTGAACAGATAGGTCAGTGAATTACATTTCCCCTTATGTCTGACACTTTCAGGTAAAATGTTGTTGGCTTATCTGTTGTGGTAAAAGTTTTGGTCCACGGCATGACTTATTAAGAGATGGACTTTAGGTATTAGTTGTACCAATAATACAAGTAACCTCAGTCTAAGCTGTTTCATTTTTCGAGAAATGATTTAATGTGCAGCCTTTAAAACTGACTACACAAACATAAAAATTCAGTGCTATGTGCTGAGAGTTTACTTCTAACACAAAAGCTATCAATTTTGTTCTTTCTGACAAAGGATGCACAATGTGATAGTCTAAATTTTGGTATTCATTTCTTAAAAATTGGTATGATTAAGCCCATTTTGTGTCATCCTGAATACCCTTATTTGATTTTTAAATTATTTATTTTTTCTATTTTTACGTTCAGTAAGAACTGTAAGGTATACTAAAAGGAACTGATCTCAAAAGCTTGTACTTATATTCTAAAGAATAACCTTGAATTTAAAAGGATACTGCATATTGGGCTTTTACTAATTTACAAAACTAAAGAACATTTTACAAATTAAAACTGATATGTAACCAAATTTATATTACCTCACGTAATGGAATGATTACACTACACAGATTGCCATCCTGGCTAGCAAAGCAGATATAGTTTTCTGAGATGCACATTTTCCCATGAGTGTTGAAGTGGCTGAATGGTACCCATAAGAAACATTCATGTACTTCTTTCAATGTCTCTTCTTTAGGCAGCCGAAAAAAGGCATTAAATTGCTCACTGTGGGCTCTATTTTCCAAACCTCTGCAGGAAAGAAAAAAAGGGGGAGCAGCAGGGCTCAAATGATTAATTCTAAAGTTTACACATGCCTATACTGATTAAAATAAATACCCTGTAAAGCAGACAGATTAAACACTAAAAGCTATGTTCTTCAATGAATTCTGAAGTGCAAAAATACAGTGATTTCGAACAAACTGATATTGCTTGTTCTTTTTACTAATTTAATTTTATCAGTAGATTAAAACACAAAAGTTAGAGATGACATAAACCTTCAAACCATCTGTTAAGGGTTGATTTTCTGGAAGACTATTATCATATTATTATATATTCATAATATCCAACTATGGCTGCAACCCAACTTGACAGATAGTAAATTACATATGTGATTATCAAAAAATGAAGGGAGTTATCCAGGTCCAACAAAATACAGCAATCAAAATGTATGTTTCTCCTCTAAATGTAAATTTAGTCCATAGAAGAGAAAATTAAAATTAAATAAAGGAAATCTTAATGTTTTAAAATATCCAAAGTTGATCTTTGTGTCTCTTCTCATGTTTATAGCAGCACAATTTGTAATAATTAAATCTTGGAAACAACTCAAATGCCCATCAACAGATGACTGGATAAGGAAAATGTAGATTTTTTTTACATGATAGGGTACTGTACCACTCTGCCACAAAGAAGGATAAAGTTGAGACATTTCTAGGTGAATGAATGCATCGTGAGATCATACTCTTCAATGAAATAAGACACACACGAAATAAGACACACATCCAGCTAAGACCTGGAGATTGAACAGATATGTAAGTGAACACCAGACACACATGTGTAAATATCACATTGTTTCTCTGGTGTGACAAACCAAAAGGGTAAATAAGGACCAAAATGTATAATAGTTATTGAGAAATAGGGAGGAAATGTTCAAATGGGAGGGGAACAAGGGAGAAGGCGGGGGGAAAGGCAGGAAGGGAAAAGAAAAAAAGAGAATAGAAGGAAAAAATGGAAATAAAGCTTCTGTAAATAAGCAGGGGGACAGGGGTTGAAGAGAGGGGAGGGGATTGGGGAAAAAAGAATCAGTATTACGTACAGGTACCAATTCCCTATGATAAATGTGATCATTATGTATAACTACAGCATACCGATAAAATAAATTAAAAAATACAACATCCTAAATAGAGAAATAATGCAACCACATTCTGTCTGCACAGTGTTGGGCACTGGATAGAAGCTGATAAATAGAAAAGACTTGTAAGCTGAAACATTAATATATAAATAAAAAGCAATCTCTTTAAATAGTACAATTTTTCTAGGGGCGCTAAATACTTATGTTAAGCAGCAATGCCATCTGGGGTAGTAAGTGAATTATGCAAGTTCTAATTTAAATCTGACAAAGTTAAAAATAAATTCTTCTCACTGAACCTACTGTTTGAGTATATGCTACTTCATCACATCTTTCAAAATGATCCTTATAAATATGATCAGATAACCATGTTAATTTTTAACCTCACTTAACTTGTAGCTTGGTGGATTATTTCACTATCATTTTAAAGGATCATCATGGCCCATTCACATGACTGGGAAGATGTCCATGACATGTTATTTTGAGAGAGAAAAAGTATGTTATGTTCAGTTCCATTCACAATTGTTATAAATATTTCTAACTCATACATTAAAAAGCCTGGATGAATACTAAACTATGATTATCACACTTTTGTATTATTTAAATTCTAGAAGCAACACATACTTGTGAAAACAATAAGCAGAAGAGAGACATTCAATAGGCTCCCAATAGGCTCTCTTAATAATACACATGGACAGAATGGATTGGCAATGAATAATTCATTGACAGATAACCTTTTATAGGATATTTTAAGGAAAATAAATTGGCTAACATGATTGTTTATGGCAACCTATCAAAGAACAAATCACAAAAGCAAATGTTCAACTAAAATATCACATGGGAATAAGACTCAATCCTATACAGTTCTACTTATAAATCATGCATGTTGAGACTTAATTTTGGTAGTAAAGTATAAAAATATTCACCCTGTAAATCTAATTTCCAGAAAGTATGATCACAGAGAAATCCTTATGCATATGGATTTTAGGAATGGTTTAGAAATAGGCAGGACAAACAAAAGGACCCAGTCTGTTTTGTGCATAGTCATACAGCGCTCTCAGTCACCTGCTCTGGTCTATGCATAGAACTCTGGCTTAGATTCCTCCTCCGTTTTCTCATACAGTCTATAACCCTCATCTTCCTTGCCAAAAGCTGCTTTCACCAGTATTTCTGGATCTGCCACTTTCCTCTTCCTCTTTGGCAAGCTCTGTTTAGTTGACTGAGTGCTGAGCAGGCTGAGAAAGCTCTGGTCAGTTTCAACAAACCGAATATAGCAGCAGATAGGTACTTCTGGTCAGACACTTCCGATGTAGACACGAACGGTGATTTGCATTTACTTAGTGGTTTACACTTTTAAAAGTGCTCTTACATGTTTTAATCACTCCTCATAAGTACCCTCTAAGGTAGAAATGACAGATTGGGAAACAGGTCCTGAGATATTATGGCTGTATTCTTGTTTTCATGCAAAAGCCCATGCACCACTAGCTCTGTTATCTTGACTTCTCATAAGAATTATGTTATGTGTAAACTATTTTAAAAAGTAAACATGTTAACAACTGCACACTTGAAATTATGTAGACTACTTATAGAGAAATCGAGAGTTAGACTAACCATACACACAAAAACATCTGTATAGTTCTAAAAGCACTCTAGGGCAAAATTTACTTAAATCACAAAACATAATTATCAGAAGTAATTTCTATTATTTCTCAGAGTTAAATTTTCATGAAGAGAATGAAACAACCTGAAACACATATGAATAAACTAAGAAAAACCGCACACGATGTTGCGGTGATTAACACTCCACAGAAAAAACTATCACATAACATTTAATGCTTATTCGTGCTACCGTTGCTATCACGAGAACAGTAAGCTTTGAATACCTTTTAGTAATTTGTAGAGGATCATCAAGGATTGGGTCATTATCAAATGTTTCCTTATCAAAAAGTCTCCTTATGGCATAGTTTGCCAATTGTTCCATAAGAAGGTACGTTTGGTTAATGTGCAAAAACATTGAAAAGTAGTAATCCTCCCCTTGGGAACACACATGGATACTCTCTGTCAGTATGACATTTGAAGTCTTTTCAAGTTTGGAGACTGCATCCCAGGAGATAATGAGTTTTACTGCAAACAAAAAAGGCGTGATTAAATATTCTCATATTGATTTATGTGTAAATCAGATTTTTGAAATAACAAAAATTTGAGAAATGCTATGAAGAGCTAAATAGTTTAGAGTTTGACATTAGTCGAAATTGTGAAGCATTACCACAAATATACAATAATCAGTGATTCTAGGAATGGATACAATTTTAAAGAATTAAAACAAAATTTTGATTTAATGTTTAAATCTATTTCTCTGTATAGTAACTAATTATATAACTACAGAGTAAAAGCTACACATATGCTATAAACAGTATTGTTTGGTTCCTCTTGGTGGCTGCAAAGTGAAATGTGGGTCATTAGGCTACGAGACCTACAGTCTTATGTTTACAGCAAGGATTAAAATATGGACTGAATCAAGTAGGTAGTTTATAACAAGGAAAGAAAGTAGTTATAAGCCAGATTGTCATCATTAATAGTCATCTATTTATCACACTATGCAAAGTTTTCCATACATATGTCTAATAGTTTCCTAGTTAAGCAACCAGTCCTAAAAGGATTTACTCTAGATGAAATGAATTTTTTTTTGAAAGGAACTTCTTGACGTATGGTTTAATTACATTTAACACAAATCCAAGTACTTTATATACAATCTAACACCAGCACAGAGTTAATAGGTCAAGTCAGCAAATTCAAAGCCATGGTAAGCAATAGAAACCACTTACTTTCTGATCCCAACAAAAAAGAATAGAAGCTCAGAAAGTTGGTACTAAGATAGAGCCAACCCTGACAAGGAACCCGTCCTTTCCAATAACTGCATGAATAATAGGTCACTAATTTTTCCTGCTCTGGTAAACCAAATGATTTTTCAAATTTCAAAAGGGCTTCTCGAAATTTCTCAGGATCATCTTCTTTTGCAAAAGAATGTTTTCCCTCTTCGGCAATTAATCCCTAGAGGAGACAAAATATTTTCTGAAAATTCATTATCGCCTACCAACACACATATATTTAATATTTTAAAATTTTAAATAGTTGTTTGAATATAATTGTATATATCTACAGCACATATGTTATATATACACATACATACTTCTCTGAGGAGAGAGGTAAGCAGCATTTCTTCAGTTTGTACTACTCTTTTTTCTAGTGCCTCATTAGAAAGGGGCTACCACAAATATAAATGTTAAATATAATGTTAAATATAAATGTTAAATATATTCTTTTAAATGAACAAAGGGCTTTTTCAAACTCCAAATCAAGAAATACTGAAATGAAAATATTGCTAAGAACATGTACAAGGGCATCAAAGACAAACCACTTGCCTTACAATTTTGTTAAACACTAATTAAGCATTTGTACGTGGGCTTGTATAAATCCTAAAAGTTGCCAGTAAACAAATGACCTTTCATGCAAGCTCTGATCCTTTTATAAGAGGGTCAAAGATTTTACTATTCCATTTAAAAAATATACCCATATCACTTACTCTTATCTTTCCTTGTACAAAATTAGTAATATCTTCATTTGAGTCAAATACAGATAAGGTCTTCATGATATTTTGTTCCAACCAATCCCAGTGCTTGGTTATTTCTTCTCTGTTGGCTCCTGATTGTAGGAAAATAAAAGACTTAAGGAAAACTCCACAATGAAACTGCTCTTGATATTTACCAAGTTAGTTTAAAAAGAAATAAAATGTTTGCTCACTTTCAGAAATAACGGTCTAAAGAAACAAAGGCATTAACATTTATCCTCTACTTATTCTCTATATGTAGACATGAACAGTATTTATTAAATAGAAAGAATAAAACATTTAATGAGAAGAGAGAAGTAATTATTGCTCATGAGAAAAGATATAAAATTCTGTAAACAAAATAATAGTAAATGATACCTAGAGAATAAGAATTACCTTTTATTAAAAGAATATATAAAGTACCAAAAAATATACATGAATATTTGAACCCTTGCACTTGAAATATAACTATTGTTGTGTCTACAATCTGTGTGGCTAAAAACAGTGCATATGCAATAATCCTACGCATGCTGTGTGAAAGTGGATTTAAATTTTGCCCAGCAGACTTATGAAAGAAATCTTTGTTTAGTCCTCAACAAGGTTCTCTATGTCTGCAACATCGCACTCAGACCCATACTTTTTTTTTTTTGGTCTTTTTGAGATAGGGTCTCACTATGTAGTTCAGGCTGGGCTAGAACTCACTTTGTGGCCCAGCCTGGCCTCAAACTCCCAGCGATCCTCGTGCCTCAGCCTCCTAAGTGCTGGGATAACAGGCGCGCACCATCACACTCAGCCTCAGACACATACTCATGCCCATGAACACAATCTTCTCCACTATCTGTGCATCAGACCCTTCAAAGTCATGTCTAGGGACACATTCTGGCCATAGCTCCCTCCAGGCTGAGTTTCAGTTCTGGTACGTGACATCTTCCCAGGCTTTGTCAACGAGGTCGATGTAGTAGAGGACACTGAAATGTTTCCTCCAGATTCAGACTCAAGGACATCTCTTCAGCGATGTTGAAATGCCTGGTGAAGAACGTCTTTGTGTACAGCTTTATGAAGCTGAAGATCATTTGCTGTTCAATGGGCTATAGAAGAGGCTTCATATCGTGGGGGAGGACGTTGACCTTTATGAAGTCATATTCAGTCTTCTTTTCCATGAATGTTGGAAAGTGTGCTGGGGTACTGCTCATCAGAAGAACAATGGTTGGTTATCAGAAAGATATTTCTTAACAGTGGGTACCAATACCTTGTGCAGCCATTCCATAAACAATTGCCTTGTGACCCAAGCTTTCACACTGGCCTCCACATGACAGGCAGTCTGACCTTGTTCACATTCTGTTTCTTGAATGCTGGAGGGGTCTGGGAATTGTACACCAGTAGTGGCTTAATCTTTAGACTGGCACTTGTCTTTGCACATGGAAAGAGTCAAGCTGTCCATGGGCTTCTGCCCTGGTACGGTCTTTTCCTGCTGCATGATATAGGTTCTGTTCAGTATTTTGTTCCAGAAGAGCCCTGTTTCATCACAGTTGAACACTTGTTGAGCAATGTGTCCTCCTGCCTTCATGAATTCCATAAATTCTTTCTTATGGGCCTCTGCAGCAGCCTTGTCAGAACTGGAAGCCTCACCATGTCTTATCATTGTGGATGCCACTTCTCTGGTGGAATGTATCAAACCACCCTTTACTGGCTTTAAATCCATCACTTATTGCACTTATAGAGGAGTTCTCTTGCAGTATATCACTGTACGATTTCCTGGCTTTTTCAAAGATCACAGATTCACTAATGCTATCACCTGGCAGCTGTTTCTCATTCAACCACTCTAACAAAACTTTTTCCTCCTCTTCCAGCATTTATGTCCTCTGCTTGATTAACATCATTACTCCTTTTGCCTCATCAGCTCCTTCAGTGCTATCTTCATTCTTTAAAATAGTTGTGATTGTTGACTTTGCCATTTTGTACTCTGAGGCCAGATCAGTCACATGAATACCATGCTCATGCTTTTCTACAATTTGCTCCTTCAATTCAATGGCTATTTTCTTAAAAATCTTACCATTCTTGCGCTGTGCTTTCTTGTTACCTTCCTTATTGCTCTGTCCTTTCTTGTTACCTTCATTACCACTCTGCACTTTCTTTTCACTACTATACTTGCTCTGCACTTTCTTTGGAGCCATACTGGATTGAATAATACTCTACAGTACCATATGTGGTGAAAAGCACACAAAGAAGTTTCACAGCAAGTGTGCACAGGTCTGTCTCCAACTGTGATCTCAACTACAAGAAGCAAGAACCACATGTCAGAGTGAGGGAGATGGCTGCAGTAGTGTCCATCATCCAACCCAGAGTTCGAGAATGGAAGCAAAATTTTGCCAAATGCTTCTGTCTGAGAACCAAATTGTTTGTGAACAGAAGCATTCATGAGCCAAGGTATTACTACACTACTGCACACTATTGCACTGGACCATTAGTACACAGAAGTACAGTGGTACCTCGGGTCACAAACTTAATTCACTCCACAATTCTGGAAAAGATGACCGCATTCATGTTCATGCAGGAAAGATGGCTGCATTCTTGTTCATTACCTGATGCTCAGTCTGTAAACAAAAAATGCTTGTGAACCAAAGTACCACTGTACAACTGGGACAATGTCTAGCAGACACAGGAGCTACTTCTACAATTTACTCACATCTATGAATGTTTGTAATGTTAAGTCCATTTATATCTCTCAGTGTTTGCAACTTAAATGTTTGTAAATCAGGGACTTACTATACAAGAAAGCTCATCTACAGGTAACTGCTTTGTTTATGTATCAGCTTGATTAGGGAGAATAAGTTATATAAAGTCACCCTTTTTTAACTAGAAAGGACATTCATTTACTAACTCAGTGGTACAGGTTATTAAACTCAGTGCTTTGCATGAATTAACCAAGTGTTCTTCCACTAAGCTACATTATCACCCTAGAAAGGATACTTTTTTCTAAATTTTGATCAAGCAGATTTAGAGTTGAGATTATAGAATTCTTATGTCATCTTCATTTACTTTAAATGGCATTCAGTTTAAAAGCAGCCAAGGGAAAAAGAGTCACCAGTGAAACTAAAAGAAATTTAGAGTGAAATATAAAGAAGATACACACATCCTAAAACAAGAATTGTATGCCGTAAGTTCACATATGGGAAATGTCTAGAAATTTGCTTTTGTTCTTTTTTTAAAGGATGTATACATGTATCAATTCACCACAATGAATGTAATTACTACGTACTGCAAATGTGGACTAATAAATTTTCTTTTAAATAAAAAGTTGGCCTGGGGATATAGCTCAGTGGTATAAGCGCCTGCCTGGCAAGCGCAAGTTCCTGAGTTCAATTCCTGATACTACAAAAAATAAAATAAAATAAAACGTTATCTACTTGAGAAAAGGAGAAGAAAAAGAAAAAGGCAGCCATTCAAATTTTAAAAGGCCAGAAATATTACAATGGCATAAAAAAATAACAGTGTCACTTTGGATTAAAAAAAAACTATGCTGACTTACTTTAGTGGGAAGAATTATCCTATTTCCTTTCCTACCCATAATAAAAATGTGGAAATATCTGAATCACTCTGGCATGATGAATATGTAGAATTACCTGTAGGACATTCCTTTGTATTTCAAAGATATGATCCTTTCTGTGAGAAAGTAAGCATACAAATAAAAAAATCACTTTTTCTGGCTTATACTTCTTTAAGTCTTGAACTGACATTGAAATTCAGATTTTCCTCATCCAAGTTGTTAGAAAGGAAACAAGAAATTTCATGGGGAAAGTCTCAACTTCTCAGCAGTGTGTGAAGCAGAAGTTGAAGAAAGGAGTCAGGTATCAGTAGCACTGACAAAAATCTGCTCAGAATCAGTCCTTCTGGACTACATGCTTCAGGTTACTCACATCAACGGCTGTTTTAAAAATTAAGTTTCTTGGTACATTTAGATATACATAATGATCACATTCATCATAGGGAATTTGTACCTGTACATGATATAGCTTGATTCCTCTTTTCTCCCCCATCCTTCTCCCTTCCCTTCAACTCCTCTTCTCCTTATTTATAAACCTTTGTTTCCATTTTATCCTTCTTTTTTCATTTTTTCTTTTCCCTTCCTTTCTTCCCCTCCCCATCCATAGTTCCCCTTTCCTTTTGAACAATTTCTTCCTATTTCACAATTTCTATTACACATTTTATAGCTAAACGGATGGACCTTGAGGCCATACTCTTAAGTGAAATAAATCGGACACATATATGTAAATATCACATCGTCTCTCTGGTATGAGAAACTGAAAGTGTAAATGAAAACCACAATGTATAATGCATTTTTAAATTCCCAATAATCAGTAATCCTTAAATAAACAGTGATCTTGTTAATTCACTCAAAGTAGAGCTGCATATTTAACTCATTTCTAGATATCAAAACAACTAGGAAGTATAAATTTTAATATCGTTTCTTAATATCTTTATTTAATTTGAATCGTACATTTAAAAAATCATACCCACCACATGCAATTGATAAGTAAACTTGAGAATCTGGTGTCTGGTGTAGGATACGAAATGGAGCCACTTTAGCAGTAGAGTCCAAAACTGAGTCAAGAGTTCCAACCAGAAGACCTGTTACAATAGAAAGACTGTTGAAATAAGGATTTTATAAGACATAAATAAAAATCGACTTAGTTACTTCCTTTGTGGCTGGGACAAAATACCTAATATTTGAAATGTAAAAGGAGGAGAGGTTTATTTTGGCTCATGTTTTAGTTCATATCCCCTAGCTCCAAGGCAGAACAGCTTTACAGATGGGCATGGTAGAGGACAGCTGTTCATATCATGCAGTCAGGAAGTGGAGAGAGGATGAAGGGAGGAGCCAGGGAGGGAGACAAACTCTCTAGGCCATAGCCCTGGTGAGGTACATCTTCCAACCAGACCTTAGCTTCTAACAGCAAGCCAGCTATAAATTCCCATAAACCAATCACGTACTGAAAGCCCTACCTATGAGCATGTGAGGCTTCCAGGGGACTTCTAGTTATAAACCATAACAAAAATTAAATGATCAGGATACCCAAAGTAACAGTAGTAATCAGCATCAAAATGTAGCCTCTCTGGGACTCATAGTCTAGGCACTTGGAAAATACCAACTTGGTGAAAAGTAAAAAAAAAGTAGATCTCCAGTAATCATAAGGGAACAATAAGGAAAATTAGAAGCTACAAACAAGTTGGAGAGATGAACTAAAATGCAGAGAAAAAAAATGAAGCAGTCTGAAAGCTTACCCTGGCTCCCACTGACGGTAACCTGTCTCCACAGATACAGGGTCAGGTGCTCCAGAGAGAAACAATGGACTGAATCAGCAGCACCAGCCCCAAGAAAATCCCACAGCTATTGTAAACTAGAAAAACAACATGCTGTTTTACTATGAAAGTGACTCCTTCTACAAAGCAGGCAAGAGTTGGAGAAGGGCTCCAGTGAGGGCTCACATTACTAAAGAGTGTTTAATCTGGTACCATTTCGAGAACAGGTTGTTTAAGAACAACTAAAAAATAAATTCACTTCAGGGTTTCGAGTGTTACCTTCTCACAGTGACTGGGTGAGAAGAGACTCAAGGAAGATAGTAGTGGAGAGGGTACAGGCTAGACACAGACCCCCTGAAAAGTTGAAGTTCAGGCCACAAAGCACATGGGTCCCATCCTCCATGGAATGAAGCCAGGCTCTATGTGTGTGGCTTCAGAAATGTCTGGGTCTCAAAGTGCTGATACTAAATACAGTGGAGTACTTTAACCGTTGCCCTACTGCCTACATCCAGCACAGATCAGAGATCTGACTGCTTTCCTGATCTACCAACGTGAACAAGGACATACCGTAGTGTAGACAGTTGCTATCACCTGTGGTGAATAGACAGAGGGCCTTCTCAAACAGGGGGATACCTCACAAACCCACAGGCCATAGAGCTAGGCAGAGAGAAATGTGAATTGCTGGATTTCAAAACTGCAGATCCTAAGAAAAAACTATTCTTTCAAAAATATACAAAAAAATTATTATCTTGGACTCATTTATTTTTCTTTCTTCTTAATGGATTTTGAGGGATTGGGGAATTATCCCTTTTCCTTTTCTTTTTTTATTTTAATGTTTTTTCCTATAAACTTTTCTGATTCTTAGTTTTTCTTTGTTTTCCTGTTTATTCTTTACTGTTACTTGTATCTAATTCTATTAAAATCATTTTACTCCTTAATAAGATCCTTTATCTCACATTTCTTTCCTTCTTACCTTACATTGCTTAATTTTTCAAATTTTTCTGCTTTCATTCTCCTATTCTCCATTCCTTCTATCTTTACTAGTATAATCATTAATAGGATATGTAGCATAAATAATTCTCAAACTATTGAAAGGAAAAAAGTATTCCCAAAGTCATTCCTAGAAGCTAGCAATACACTGATACCCAAACCAGAAAAAGACCCAAACAAAAACGAGAACTACAGGCCCATCTCTTTAATGAACACAGACACAAAAATCTGCAACAAGATACAAGCAGAATGCAACAAATTATCAAAGAAGATCATACATTATGACCAAGTAGGCTTTATCCTAGAGATTTAGGGATAGTATCACATATGCAAATCAATAAATATAATACAGCACATAAATGGAATTAAGGACAAAATTCACATGATCATCTCAATAGATTCAGAAAAATTCAGACAAAATAAAACATCCATTCATCATAAAAACTTGGAAGAAAATAGGTAGAGAAGGACAATATCTTAATCTTATAAAAGCCATTTATGACCAAAATATTGCCAACATCATACTATATGGGGAAAATTGTAAGGCTTTCCCTTGAAAATCAGAAACAAGAAAAGGGTATCCACTACCACCACTTCTGTTTAATATAGTTCTCAGACATTAGCTAGAACAATAAAAGATTAAAAGAGCATGGTACTGGAACAAAAACAGACATATAGATCAATAGGCCAGATAGAATAGAGGATACACAAACAACTCCAGGCACATTCAGCTAACTGATTTTAACAAAGGGGCTAAAAGATACACTGGAGGAAACATCGCCCCTTTACTGAAAGCTGCTGGAAAAACTAGCTATCTACATGTAGAAGACTGAATGTAGACCCATATCTCTTACCAGATAAAAACTAAAATCAAAACAGGTCAAAGATCTAAATGTTAAAACAGAAAATATCTGCTGAAGGATAAATATGTAAAATTCTTTTAGACATAGGCAAGAACTTTCTGAACAGAACCTTGATTGTATAAGAAATAACATCAAGAAAAACAAATGGGATCACATCAAATTAAAATATTTCTGCACAGCAAAAGAAACAACCCAAGTGGAGAGACATCCTATGGAACAGAAAAATATTTTCGAAGCTATTCTGTGGACAGAGGACTAATACCTAGAATATACAAAGAACTCAAAAAAAATTAGACTCCCCCAAATAAAAGATCTAATCGAAAAAGGGGCAACAGAAATGAATAGACATTTCTCAGAGAAAGAAGTATAAAAGGTCAAGAAATACATGAAAAAACATTCAACATTTCTTGCCATTAAAGAAATGCAAATTAAAACAACAGTGAGATTCTACCTTATTCCAGAAAAAACAGCTATCACCAAGAAACAAGTAATAACAAATGCTGGCAAGGCAGAAGGGAAAAAGGAACCCTTCTGTATTGTTGGTCGGAATGCAAACTAGTACAACTACTATGGAAATCACTGTAGATATTCCTCAAAAATTTAATCTAGAAATTCCATTTGACCCAGTTATTCCCCTCCTAAGTATCTTCCAAAAGAGTTAAAAGTCATCACATTGCAGTGATACATGCATACACATGTTTACAGCAGTACAACTAATAAAGCTAAATCTTGGAATCAGCCTGTGTGTCCATCAACAGATGAGTGGATGAAGAAATTGTGGCATTTATATATAATGGAGTACTACTCTCCCATAAAGAAAAATAATTTGCATCATTTCTAGAAAAATGCATGCATCTGGAGACTATGTTAAGTGAAATAAACCAGACAAACAAGCTTAAATATTGCATGTTTTCTCTTATATGAGAAACTCAAAATACAAAAAAGAGCAAAATAGAAGATTATAGGAAATAGGAAATAGGTGTTTTACAAAATGGAAGGGGACCAAGAGATGGAGGGAAGCAGGAAAGAGGGGCGAAATAGAGATGAAAAAAAAAGCAATATGTGTTATATACATGTACTAATTCCCCATGACAAATGTAATCATTATGTCCTATAAACATGTACCAACAGGGCCAGGGATATAACTCAGCAGTACAGCGTCTACTTGTTAAGTGTATGTTTCTAAGTTTGATTCCCATACCCCCCAAAATGTACCAATAAAAATATAATAAAAAATAATCTCAAGGACAAAAGAATCCCCCAATACATCACTTCAGATGACAAACTAGTAATTTTGTTTTTTAAAATTTTCTACCCAGGGGTTAGGAATATAGCTCAGTAGCAGAGCAGTTTCTTAGCATGTGAAAGGCCCCAGGTACCATCCCTAGCACTACAAAAAAGGATCTAAAATACTCTAGCCTAAAGAAACCTTTAGTTTATTTTCTTGAAGAAAAAATGTATTTGACATGAAGAGATTATCGTGTGCTATTGTGAGTAATGTTTGAGCAAATTATCTTTCAACAGAGGACTTGAGTTCAATTTTCCAAATTTTTCAATTTATCTGTAGCACTTATATACTACTTCAAAAGGTTGTTTGTCTAACAGGTAAAAATATAAAATCTGGTACAAGAGACTATCTAGGCCTGAATACTGGCTCTGTCACTTGTGTCAATCTGAACAAGTTTAAGTACTCATTTCTACGCTGTCATTTATAAAATAAAGACGTTAAAAGAGAATCTATGACAAAAGATTGTTGTAAACATTGAATTATTACATATAAAACACGTAGAACACTGCTTAGCAGAGCAAAACACTCAACATTAGTTAATTCTATTACTACATTGAAAATCTTAGATATTTAAACAAAATAAAACATTTGTAAGAATGCTTTGGTAAAGGGATTTACATTTTAACAATTCTTCATATCCCAATTTAGAATTCAAGGTTCTTGCTCAATTAGTTCCACTTTAACTATCTGGTTATATTTGAATACGTGTAAGAATAAAGTTTGCTGGGTCTTTCCTAAGCAATTATCTTTTTTGTGGTGAAATGCCAACAAAATTCTTCTAGCCAACTCCAGCTAATCTAAATTCTACATTTTTTCAAGACCCACTTCCCCCTTGAAATCTTCACTAGCAACACCAAGCAATGATTCTTTCCTTTAAATACTTACGGCACTTAAGTTTTATAGTCTATAACCTAGCATTTGATTATTAGGGTGCTCATTACAACTAGTTTTAAGTGCTTCATGTATAATATTTCTATCTTCTTATCTATATTATTAGATCTCTGAGGACAGTAACTATATTTTGTACCTCCAGGTTTGGGTCCTTAACTTTTGACATATGCTGGGTGCAATAAGGGCATGGTTCACTAAGTTAACTGTATCAATATGATGTCTAGGACATATAAATCTACTTTCCTTTTCTGGGAGCTTTAATTCACTGACGGTTTGTTTTACCCTATATGGCGCTT